TGAATGAATGACTGACTGACTGACTGACTGACTGGCTGGCTGAATGAATGAATGAATGAATGAATGAATGAATGAATGACTGAATGAATGACTTACTGACTGAATGAATGGATGAATTAATGATTGATTTAATTAATGAATGAATAAATAAATGACTGAATGACTGACTGAATGGATGAATGAATGAATGAATGACTGTATGAATGAATTAATGAATGACTGAATTAATGAATGAATGATTGACTGACTGACTGAATTAATGGATGAATTAATAATTTATTGAATGAATGAATGAATAAATGACTGAATGACTGACTGAATGAATGATTGACTGAATGAATGAATGACGAATGGATGAATGACTGAATTAATGAATGGATGGATGGATGATTGAATGAATGACTGAATTAATGAATGAATGAATAAGTGAATGAATGAATGACTGAATGAATGAACGAACGAACGAACGAATGATTGAATGAATGACTGACTGACTGACTGACTGACTGAATGAATGAATGATTGAATGAATGAATGGCTGGCTGACTGACTGACTGACTGAATGAATGAATGAATGAATGAATGAATGAATGAATGAATGACTGACTGAATGACTTTTTGGTTTCTTTAGCTTTGGGGTTTTTATCAATCCACTGCAGAATGTCAGAATCAAAGGCCATAAAATCCTCTCCATCAAATCCATATTCATCAAATGCTCTCAGACTCACTGTTCCATCAGGAAGTTTCTCCAGTTCACAACCAATCATTCTCTGAAGAACATGGAGCTCTACAATCACAGAACAACACTCACGATAAACTTACAGTACATAAAAAATACAAGAAATTTCATAACATGCCTGATAATTGATGACTAAAGCATGAAACTCACCAGAACACTGAGAGTCTGTGCAGTTTGACAGAGTGTTTAACTGATGTAGGAACCAGTCTCTAGAATCATAATCTTTAGTTGGTTCTGCAGGTCTACCAATCCAGTTATCTGCAGTCAGACTAGATCTTATCCAAACTCTTTCTTCATTACTGTAGTGAGCGATCTGTCTGCCATCACAGACACCGACAGCTTTGAACACAGGAAACGTGCATGCTTTGAAAAATGCTGTAAACTTGTAGCGGAGGAAGTGTTTTTCTGAGGAACATAGAAAACACAAACAAAAATAAAAACACGATACACAATATGTGAAATGAGAGGGAAAATTATGTTTGCTAAAAACATCTTAAATATGAACTTGAACTTAAAATGTTTTTAATAGTTGCAATGTAGCTGAGTCATGTCGATCAGAAGGAAGTGCTGTGCACAGAAATGAATGAACCTTGTTCTTACCTTGCCTCGCGTCACTTAGAAAAGGATAAGGCAACAAAAAAATGATTAAGATCATTCTTATATCTATAGAACATGTTTTAAATGAAAGTCTATTGGCCATTTTTTACCTTAAATATTGTAGACGAGTGCCCTGTACGTCTACATGAAGAGCCCGGCTACAGATTGCACTCATCAATCGCTTCTTCTGACGTCACTAGAAGTCGCCACCAGTGACTCTAGGATTTCTTGGCAGTGCAATGGGGGAACTTAACTATGGAAGCCCGTTTCAGCCACTGAATAAAAAATAAAATAAAAAAGTTAATAGTTAATCTATATCTCACAATTCTGACTTTTTTCTCAGAATTGCAGTTTAGATCTTGCAATTCTGAGGAAAAAGGGTCAGAATTGCAAGATGTAAACTTGCAATTGCAGGAAAAAAGTCAAAATTGCAGAATTTTAACTTGTAATTCTGACTTTTTGTCTCAAAATTGCAAGATATTAACTCAGAATTGCGTGATATAAACTTATGAAATGCTTTTTGTGTGCAAAGAAAACAAAAATAACGACTTTATTCAACAATTTCTTCTCTTCTGTGTCAGTCTCCTCCGCCGTTCACGAGAGTACCATGACGCATGCGCTGCACCTTGTTTACGAGCAGAGGAATGCATTACAAACATTACACACCATCAGCTATTAACCTTTAAAAAATGGTTTCCTGTAGTGTGTTTTTGGACATATTCCATCAGGATTTAATGGTTTTAACATGCCACTAATAAAAGGCAACAAATTACCAGTCGAGACAAACAGGGTCTATCACATTTTCCATTAAAACCAGTAAAACCATTACAAATGTGATGGTTTCTATTGTTTTTTTCAGCAGAGAACACTTCAGTGGTATGAGACGACTGGATGGGTTGATTTCCTATGAAACTGTCAGCACTGAACGGCAGTGTCTAACTATTTATAGTGAATTTAGCTACAAACTGGATCATAATGCACAATGTTTCCATCTAACATGTATTTTGAGCTGCAGCTCGTCATATTAATGGAGTGTTTCATTAGTTAGCAGTAATCCGGTTACCTCACCTGAACATGTTTGTAGATTTGTGTTGGATGTCTTCGACATTTAAAGCATTTATCTTCGGAATGGAAATATTGATATTTTATTTGTAAACATTTTTTCGCTTATTTCAGTTAATCTCATAAAACTAGCGAGCTAACGGTTCTGACGGTGTAGTATAAACATGACTGAAGGCGCAAAAGCAGAGTAACAGACATCCGATTCAATTGAGTGAGTCATTTACGCTGGAACCGCTCCGATTGATTTGTGACTTCGATCATTAAGTTCGATCAAAAGAGGAGTGGAAGAGGACTCCAGTGGCAACCTGTGAAGCTCTGGTGAACTCCATGCCCAAGAGGGTTAAGGCAGTGCTGGAAAATAATGGTGGGTAGCCATCTTAGAATAATAAAAATCCATCCAGTCTTTTTTTTAATCTTCATAAAACCAAACCAGGCTCAAAAAATGAGCGGTTTGGATCCTGTACGCAATATGACATCATATTGCAGTAGCCCCGCCCACCGCTATTGACTGACAGGCGCGTAAAACCATATCCTCAGCTCTCAGTAGGCTCGTTTGAGATGCATCGGCGCTGCACAGAACGATTGATGTATGACCGCGAGAGCCATAATAGAGCAGACGACTCTTTATGCTTTTGAATTGCTCTCGCGGTACTTTGATCGTTATATTGTTTCTTCTGCTGTCCGGTTCGTACATGTACGGCTGAATACCGGTCCTCTCACTCTCGCTCATGTTGCTTCTCCTCTCTGTTTATTTCCATATGCAAAGCAGAGACGTCTAGGCTCCACCCCCTTCTCGATTCTGGCGGGAAGTTGCAGCTCATTTTCATGTAAGGGAACACACTGCGTGTGTGCACTTGGATGGGTTAAATGCAGAGCACAAATTTCGAGTATGGGTCACCATACTTGGCCACAGCTCACTTCACTTAAAAAGGGGCATAATAGGTACCCTTTAATTTTGGGGGGCCCATCTTAAAATGAGGGGGCCGCTCTATATTAAAGGGATAGTTCACCCAAAAATTACCCCGTGATTTACTCACCCTCAAGCCATCCTAGGTGTATATGACATTCTTCTTTCAGACGAATA